GCCCCCCCCCCCCGCCTGACTCCCCCTCTCTATCACGGAAAATCTTTGGCCTCCGATAGAGATGTATGTACCTATGTGAAATTTCTCTCTATACGCCACTGTAGCTGCCTTTTTAATACTTTTTTCGTCACTGCAGATCGGGCCGGATTTACCTACTTGCCGCCCATGGGCCGCCTGTTTTTTGCCGCCCCCTTCTCATTCGTTTTGAAACAGCAATAAAAACCATCAAGTAAACGTACCGGAGGGGGAGGCGTGCACAAGACGCGTTTACCTACACGTGTTGGATACATTTTTTTGCGAAAGCCCTGTCAACACTACTAGCAAAATTTCACGGAACTTGACGCGAAAGTTATGTTCCGTAAACCTATCTCTGCGTGGACAAGATCCTCCATTTATAAGTAATGATCCAAAAAATTATGAAAGAACAAACATAAATGTGGTTTAAGAATTTTAACTTCCACCGCTGCGCCGCGCCGCGCTGACCGCACTGTGTTTGGCGCAATGAGCGAAGTATTCATGCAGTCTTGTAGGCGCTAATATGTGTTACATGTCGACCGCAGTGCCGAGGGCTTGTCCTTTTCATCTCAAGTCCTCGTCATCATTCCTCTCTGCGCTGAGCTCCAGGCCAAAATGGGTGTTTAGTTCCACTCTTAACTCGACTAATAATTAAAGATGCTATCTGCTCTTTTATCACCGAAAAACGAAAAAATTAGAAATTACCATTCTCTCAGGAAAGAGAGATTTTGTCCCCTTCTCTCATTGATGATTTTTTTTTCTGAATCTGATTTTTTTTATACCTACATTTAAAAAAATTGCAAAATTTGCCGCCATGGGCCGCGGCCCGCGGCCCATGTGGCAGCCCCCTTGATCCGGCCCTGCTGCAGATCAAGAAAAAACCCTCGAAGAGTAGGCCCCCTCCAACTAAAGAGTAAAATTAAGTCAAGTTCGGTCCAGAAAATTCAAAAACGTTACGAGAGTCCGGAAACCACTAAAGGAACAGCTGGATGCGAATTACAAAATTCAATCTCAAGTTCAGGTGTGGTGGCCGCGTTGCTCTGTGCCTACACTGGCCTGTACGTTCAAATGAAGGCTAAACAAGTCTTTACGCTGTTCCTCTAGAACCCCCTGGAACACGAAACGTGAAGCGCCTTCATTTTAAGAAATTAGGCAAAAATATCTCCTATGTGTCAAAGTAGTTGCATCCACACAGGATGAGCTTTACCGCTTTAGAGCGGTAGCCGAGAGCCTGTTGGTACTGTTGGTTGTCTTGTGAGGATTTCGTCACCTTCCAGCCAAAGTATCACAAGCGCCATGCGACGTTTAATTTCCGCCTCCATTTTATTTTATTACAGAGAAATTGTTGGTTGAATCCATTTGAAAATTGCATTGAATTTTATCGGCAGCACAAAAAAATTCAGTGAAATTTTCGGACAGCTTCAAAGGAGCAATTTCTCTGTAAAAAATAGAATGGTGGCGGAAATTTTTAAACGTCGTGTGGCGCTTGTGATACTTTGGCCGGGAGGTGACGATTTGACTATTTCGGGAAACGTGGATCACCCACCTTGTCGTACAGCGAGTGAGGAACATTTTTAAATTTTGCTGAGTTCGGAAAAATGACAAACTGGCAACGGCGGGCTAAACGACGAATTTTGATTGCGCCGGCGTAATAAAAAACGTTTCCTGTGGCCTGATCGAGCAGGTGCGATGATCTGCCATGCTTTTTTACGGCGGCAATATTGTTCTGCGTATGTAAGTACGTACCCTCTTTTACGCAGTCAGCATGCAGGCAGTCGCGGTCAGGTCGACAGACAGGTGCTAGCCGCGTTGAGAAATTCGATTTCTCTTTCCTTTTTTCCACCCGTATAATGCGAATTTGCGTTGTCAGATCTCTCCAAGTTGAAAACGAAATTTTAGGGCTTGATAATTTGGTCCGTGTCTCCGGAAAATTCTGATATAGGAGCGATCTCATACCCAAAAAATCACTATCTACCTTTGAAAACGAAAAATGTAGGTACCCCCTCCCCCATCCCCGGGATTCGTTCTATTTGCGATATTGAAGGTTTGGCACACATCAAAAGGAATCCTTTGGTTCGTAACTGCTGATCTAAGGAAAAACGCCGCATGAACATTCGAGTTGCCAAATTTCCAAAGGTATTTTTGAGGAAAGCTTTGCATATTTTTCTTTGAAATTTTCAGATATTTTAGATCAAATTGCGAACAAAATGATGTGATAAATTTGAAGAAAAATATTCACAATTTTCCCAATAAATTAGTTTTTTGTTGAAGGAAATATGACGACATCTGAAGGTTCATATGGCGTTCTTCCTTAGCACGGCAGTATGAATCTTCGGACATTGCCAAATTCCCTTTGATAAAATACAGATTTACTAGGGAAGTAGTGAGAATTTTTCTTCCAATTTTTCCAACAACTTTGTACTTTGATCTAAAGTTCTCAAAATTTTAAGGAAAAATATGCATGACTTTCCTCCAATATAAATTCTTTATTCGGGAAGTTTGGCAACCCTCGAATGTTCATACGACGTTTTCCCTTGACGCAGCATAAAAATTCCCCCATGATGAGATCTCAAGATAAAATAGATATTTTTTTTGTAGATACATGATTTTCAGGTGAGCATGTTGTGCAAAAATTTTATCTTCAATCTTCCACAAGAAGAGTATTTTTTGTCATCAGATAAACAAAGGAACCCTCTAAGAGACAATGCAACTTGAGGAGTTGAGGCATGAATGACTGGTTTAAAAAGAATTTCCAAATTCAGGCATAAATTTTGCCGGTTCATTCAGCCTTGTTGAAAGTTACTGAGGAATTTCCTTCTCTGGGTGTTTCAAAAGCCCCTTCTAACACAGAAGTGGTTGACATAAACTTTTTGAAAAAAGGAATAGGTAACTACTTAAATGCTATACTTCAAAGGAAACTGAGATAAATTTTTTGGGCAATAGCAAAAAGATAAATATTAGATTTGAAATAAATATATTAAAAAATATATTTCAAAAATTATAAGAGTCTCACAAGATGATTTTCAAGACTTTTTGGAAGAGATTATGCAAATAATTAACAAACAAAATAAATAGCTTTGATAAAATAGTTACAAGGAGTAAACATAACAAGAAGTTTAAAAATTATGGAGAGAGTGACAAACATTTCTTCTCATTCAGAACACAAACAACACTGATGTGCTACGGATGGAAAAATTATTTACTTTTAGCGTATTTTTCCAAGGAAATACACTATTGCATTCTCCCCTGATGTCACGCCTTGATCAAAGACCATGTAATTGGCATCGATCATTATGGATCGTAGATTACGAACATGCATACCGTTCAGATTCATGCATACATGTATATGTAATTATATGTATTTTCGACTCATCGTGGTTTTTTCGATTTTTCCTGGGTTATATCTCCTGTCTTTTACAAGTTTTCCAGGTGAAATTTTTTAAAATGTCAAGTCGAGGAACGGGACAATTATTCTGCAAAGAGAAATTGTAGATTGAAACAGTGCGACTCACCGTTTTTGTATTTTTTTAATAATGAACAAGGCCACATGAGTGTTTTCATCGAAGAAATATGATTTCGTTGCGTTACATTTTGATTTGAGAGATAGCTAAAAACTAAAACAGTGTTCTACGATAATCTCTTCAATACGGTGATACATGTAGATGTGATTTAGATTGCAATAAAAATAAGTCTTCTCTTACATGTTAAATCAGTCAATACAATAAATTAGGATTGGAAGGTATAATATTAATTTAAAAAAATACTGCCTTTTTTGAGAAGATCTCTGGATAACACAGATGTTATAGCTACAATGAGAGAAGAGCATCATAATGATTAGATCAAAATCAAATGAATTGAAAACAAAAATTGCAAACCCTTCAAGTGCGGTGATTCAAACTCTTGCATCTATACTGTTACTTACAACAATGTGTCCATCTTTGATACAGGAGTACAAGGTATCATTTTAAAGAGGGATCATTTTTAAACTTCACACTTTAGTTGCAATAATTAAAAAAAAGTTTAAAACATATTTCAAAGTTTAAAGTTTAAGTAAACTCATTAAAGCTATTAAAGTTCTTCTTCGGTACTAAGAAACTAGTGATAGAGACAAAATAAGTTAAAGACTTCAAGTCGGAATGAGAGATAAAAGTATAAAAAAAGGATAAAATTATATTGCAAGTAAGATGGCGATTTCGGAAATGATCTTCTACGCTATTCAAAACTTGTTTGGGGTTAACTTGAAAAAGTCCAACAACTCTTGAGAGAAATTTTCCAGAAAATTTATGCTGGGAATTTTTCTGCATGCGATTTTTATCAATTTTTTTCGTCACTATACGCGATGCAAGTTGAAATATTGGTAATGAGCCATTGTAGGTGTTAATCATGTTTTAATAGTTGACACTAATAGAATGGAAGAAAAAAATAAGAAAAATTGGTTTAAACACAAAATATTGTTGTTCAAAAAGTAGCGGAAATTGATCCTTTTCAAAAGGCAGAAGATGACATCATTCACCATGGACAATTAACACATGAATGACCAAAATATGAATAGTATCGGCTGGATTTTTCATTGACAGCATAGATAAATTTTCGAAACTTCTAACCCAACCAAAAAAAGGGGCATATATAGTTCTGAAGATAGTAAAAACAAAAGGGGGGACTAGAATCACACCACTCTCCTAAAAGATAAAGGTCTCTTCTATTTAGATGGTTAAGAGGGGGAAAAACAAAATTGACTAAGAACTGAAATAAAAATCTCAAGAATAATTGAAAAAATAACAAACTAGAGGCGATTAAATCAGAGACTATGAGTTTACAAACAAAGCAAAGGATAGTAAATTAACTAATGATCTGAAAATTACGTGATTCCTCATTTACGATATCATCTGAAAAACGAGGAAAATCTCAATATTTAGAAAGAAAATACACAGTTCAAAAGACAAAAAAATTTAAAGTAGTTTTCACATTATTTTTTCTGACATTTGATACCAGATGGGGATTTACAAGAGTGAGTAAATTCACGGATACAGTGGCCTAAAACTTGATGGTTTAGGGTCAACCGCTAGTTGCGAAACCTAACCTCTAAATTCGACTATAAATCGTAAAAATTATATCTTAAGCTCAAGCTGTATGCAAGTAGAGCTTTGTTCACAGCAGGCAAGAGGCATTCTTAATTTCTTAAAAGTTCTAACCACTAATCAGAGATCAAGTAAGAAAGTCGGCATTCTTGCAGCAACTTTTAGCCACGCGTTGACTGGCCAACAAATTTTGGACCTAAAACTAGTTTTAACCATGTGGGTAGGAAACAAATCTGATTTGATGTAATTGAAACAACAGAGACGGCACGTCTCAATAGCACTGACTCAGAATCTCTGCTAACATTTCATCTATTATGAGAAAATCAAAGGTAAATATTTCATTGATACTTAAACTGAATACTCTAAATGGTTTTATAAAGATCCAACCAGAAATTTCAGAAAAATTACCCATGGGTCTCCTTTCTAAATTATAAATTAGCCACAGAGATTCTGAAACAGCGTAACCAAGAACGTAAAATTTATAACCATTTTTTTTTAAGTTGACCTTTTTTTAATCTGAAGAATTTTAAGCAACGTTAGAAACATATGCTTATAAATACGAGGAAAAAGTAATTTTCAGGTCTTTATAGACAAGTTAGACATATTCAATACATAACAATATTAAACCACTTATTCTGTAACTGTTAAATCGAATTTGCATGTGATTAAAGGTAAGAGAATCCGGTAGGGCGCACACCTGGCTACCAAATGTTTTCGAAAAGCTATTAGTTTACTTGAGTGCATTCTGATCTCCCATCGACGTTTCTTGTTTGATGGGTGGTATCTGGTATCCAATTCTTAGCCAGTGCAAATCTTCTTTCAAATATATGTATGTTTAGTTACCTGTGTTTTCACTCTAATTCAAGTCCTATCTTTAAATTGTGCTGCATCACTGACATTTAAATTCTCATTGTTGTGTTTTTATAAGAGTGCTCATACCTACAAAATGCACAGAGATAAATTTTAGAAAAAAATTTGACTTTATTTTTTTCGTATTCTTGATTTTACTGATGATGGACAGATATTGGCCGAAAGACAGCCAAGCAAAGAAATAACTTTCTGAGAACATAGTGCATTACACTGTATGCATACTACCTAATTCACTTACTCTTTACCCATGTTGCATCAGAGGAAGGATATATACACAACTACTCTTTCTTATATCACAGGAAAAAATAATTTTGCGGGACCTTAAACATCTCTCCTTACAGAGCAGTTTTTCATCACAAGAGAGGTACCTAATGTTCCGAGATTCTTACAAAGCCTAGCGGCACCTTGCTCCTCTTTAAAAGCGGAGGCCAACTATTCTTTTGCATTAATAAAATGACCTCCTTCAACTTTTGAGCATTATCAGTGAAAAAAGAATACATATCAATGAGGGAAATAGAAAAGGCTGAAATTCGCTGGAAAAAATTTACAATGCAATTAACAGAAAAAGCATCATCATTCAGTCATTCTGCCATTCTGAGTTTTCAATGAACGTCCTATTCTCCTTCATAAAGAATGATCCGCAAGTCCCACACCACCTGAACTACGCAACACCTCTGTAATTTTTTAACAAATTGAGATTGAGATTTGAAATTTTGTGAGTGCTCTTGCGCCGATGGAAACACAGGGTGTCTACTGGTAACCTGTCATTCGTATTCCTTGCTATTTCCTTACTTGCTAGAAAATTCCTTTTTTGGCGATTCTCAAAAATCTTTGCTTTTTCAATACCTTTTCCTTACTTCGCACGCATTTTTAACTATATTTGAATTGGAAAAGAGGAATGGTAGAATGACAAAGGAATAAACCAGAAAACACGATGAATCGAACCGGGATGTTGATAAATGGATTATGTGAGGAAATCGCATACTCCCAAGGCTACTTTCTAAAGTTTGTCACAAAAATCTCGAATTTCCGTACCTAATCACCGAAGATCCGTACCTTCTCTCTGTTTCCGTACTGACCTTCCTAAATCCGTACTTTTTCCGTACAGTAGATGCCCTGAATGCGACTTTTAGGATCCCTTCAAAATTTGGAGGGGACCTCTCTAAAAGGTGACAAGGGTCTTCGGGATTATTAGGGTGGTGCAGGACTTCCGGATAACTCTGTAAAATTAATCTTAAAAATTTCTGTTGAAGAAACTTTGGACAACAATTCATACAGCAACATCTCAGGTAAAATCTCATTAGCTTTACATTGTGTCTTAGAGAGAAAAGTGCATAATTCTCTGCTTCACGACAACATTGCAATGCATCCCTTGAAAGTGTGATAAGTTTCACATTATAATTTGCAGTCTTCAACATGGATACACATTTAAAGGCTTAGAGAGGAACGCCACATATCAAAGACTAGGGTAATTGCATTAGCCTCTTGGAACACAAAAACTTTTCAGTTCTTAAAATATTTAGGGGAAACCTAAATTTTCATACTTAATGTAAATTTCACAATAAAACCTCCCTTCAAATACACATACATTACACTAGTTATTGCAAAGATTCAATACGGAATTATTTTCACTTGGTTTCCCAAAATTTGGCAAAAAATAGCTCAGGATTGGAAACTAGCTGGTTTTCTGGCAAGCCTTGCCTTTACTGGAGCTGTCCAACCAAGCGATTGCGGCAATGATATGAGGAACTAATACGGACTCCTTTAAAACTGACTGCTCGAACCAATAGACAAAACGGTGACTTTCTGCCTGCCTAATTTTTAATTTTTTCCCTTCAATATCTTTTCCAGATTCTGCGCAATAATTACTCGGGCGCAACTTGATAAAACAATTGATTGCACATACACATCTCACAGAAATAGATTTAAACAGATTAAATATGAAAATATTAGGATGCAATACAATGATAAACATAAGAAACCCGGCAGGCCCAGTAAAAAAGGCAATTTACCCACATCATCTCAATTGATGTCTCCTGATCATTAGAGATACATACAAGTTCCTAATCAATCAACGTTTACACTAATGGTAGTTTAGATAACTTGGTGATAAAAAGCTACGAATGTTTTACCAGGCTATTACAGTTTTTCCACCAAGTTGGTTTGCGTCTCCAGCAAGAAAAAAGTGAAATTTACAGTGTATGCCATGATTTGTTCACGATTAAAAAAATGTGAATGGCCAGCATCTGCAAAATTGATGCTCTATCTAAACACTTAAAGTTACTAAAAAGAGATATCTCCTTCCTTATTGTTCATCAGTGATATTGAAATACTGCTAATGAAAAGCCAAACATTTTTAATGCATTGCTGGAAATCGATTGACTGTGAATGAGACCAATCCGACAACTTTTTGGTAGAGCCAATATTGCACTTTAAAACCAGGGATTCTCCTCTAACTGTCTCACCAAAACAACTTGATGCTTAAAAATCTCAAAAGATATGAGTATTTTTACCTGAAGGGGAGAAAGGACGAATAACACCACATTTTTTTTTTATTGTACATAGTTGATGGTGGAAGGAAGGTTTGAAAAAACTTAAATTGTGTTAATATCTAAATTCAATGGATGCGACGGATCACAAGACAGGATAAGAATTGACTGGATGTCTCTATTGAAACGTTTCTTTTGATGAGAAATCAGTATTCTATAATTATGTGCGTTCATATCTGTGCAATAGAGAGAGTAACTAAAAAACCGGTTGTTAGTCGAATGTGGTCCAATCAAAAGTCATTTTTGAATGCGTCCCTTGGCTTTCAAAATTGGATGAGCCACCTATACTGGGCGGCTTCGAGAAATTTTGAGAATTTTCTGACGAGCTGCTTGGAGCAGCGTTTAAGGAACCAGAATGGAGTTGGAAGGAATTGAAATTGATACCATATTCACTGAGGAGCTCATTGTCCTTTTTCTCCTGGTTCTTTGGTGTGAAGTACGGGTACAAGGGGTTGATAAGTCCGACTATTTTGGGTTCGGTGGCCGTTTCTGAGTCGGAGGACAGGAGTGATTTTCCAGAGAGCAGAGGGTCAAAGTCATCCATTGAGGAAGTCGAGTTCAGCTGGATGAGATTTGCTTCTTCAACGGCAGGTAACTGGAAAAGGAAGTGGTAACAAGTTACACGACTGCAGAATACAACGAAGGACCACTAGACAAGGTATGAATTTCAGTATTCTGATACATGTTTCCTCTCCAAACTTTCACAACAACGTACAATGCGTTATGCACAACGGAAATTACTGGAATTTACTTCGAAACAAGATATTGTGTTTTTAATTAGCAGAATTACAAAGAATTCTGTAAAAACATTGTCCCAAGGTACACAAGTTTTTCTGCTATGATACATTGTTTTTAAAAAATGTAAAATGTCGTTTACGGCATTTTTGCATTGCACGGCAGTACTATGGTTTTGACAAGCTTCTGAGTCCGGCAGTATTCTTTTCCTTCCCTGTGTTGTTAAAAGTGTAAAAAGTGAAAAGAGATCACAGTTTTTAGAGGCAAATTTTTCAGAAAATCGATTTTTATCTAGTTGATAAAAATTAGTACTTAAGTTTTGGACAGCATATGCTCCCTACTGCCTATTCCAAACATTCAGTTGCAAGAAGTTTAGTCCAATTTAATGCAGAGGTAGCGAATGAATGGAGACATCTTGATGATATATTATTGGTCTCAAAATAAGGCTAGTAAAGTTGTACACAGTGCTAACCTCAAGATTACAATTCTCGGATTGTCGTTTCTGTGTTCAAAAATCACTCCTTGACAGAATCATACCGTTGGGTAACTGAGTTTTTGCAAGATTGAGCAGGTATTAGAGGAGATTTTGGCGAATAATATACTAAATCATATGAGTGGTCCTAAATATAGAATAAAATAAGATTTAAGAGAAAGTACACACAATTATACCTTTGGAGGCTGATTTTTCCTTGGAGGCAAAGTAGGTGGCGAGGCAAGAAAGACATCATCAGAGGTGTACCATGTAGAATTTGTGCTAGACGCCGGTTCTTTTTTATCCTTGTCTGCAGTTGTTTGATTTGATAAGGAGAGGTTTTCTAAACTCCGCACCAACTTAGATGAAGAAATGCCTCGATTGAAAATTACGTCTTGCAGATCATCCATCAAATTTATGTTCAGATCCAACGGAGGATACTGGGAATTGTCATCTAATTCAGTTGGTGATGTCAATCTGTTCCGTACAAAAATGTATTAGATTTACAGAAGATAAAACATGCAATGGAAACTTTGATGGTAAATTCAAAAAATAAATAACGATACAAAGCATGATCAGAAGAATTTAGAGAAAACTCCTTGCTTACATTGTTATGCTATTCTTGATACAACCTTCAGAATGCTAAAATTTGAAAAAAAAAGCGACTGCTAACAAGATAAGGGACCTTAGTCCATGGAGGCAAAATTTTTCGGTGCGTAGAGCAGTTTTGGTCTAATTAGGTCACAAAGTTGGGTCGACAGATTTCTAAAGAAATCTCTCAAGAAATCTCTCAGAAAAGAGTAGAAACAGTTGAGCGATTCATTTAGTTCTTTTTTTGTGCTAATTATTGACGTAATATGCATTATCATGCAGCAACCTGGAGCCCTGAAAACAGCAGATTACATTTATAAACAGCTTTTTTTTTAAATTACATTTTTTGAGCTGCAAACTTCAAAAATCCAAAACACCACTTTTAATTAGACATTTCTGAGAGTTTTTCGTCCAAAATTTCTGTTTAACATGCTTCGAGAATTAAGGCTATGGAATTAGTAATTTGATGAGGTTTTTGTGGACTAATGTCCAAATTTCCTTTAATAAGCATGATATTACTGATCATCATTCCATTTAAATAACAGCATGGACTTTTTCAAGCCTCCATCACCTTCTCATAACCAGTGCATTGACACTACATAATAGTGCATCATCAGTTTTAACTGTTGCGTAATTGACAGTATCTGAAAGTCTGATAGTAGGGATCTACCTCGTAAAAGTTCAATTTTGTTGTAGCTGTATTTTTACCTTCAAACTTACCCATTCAAGTACAAGTTACTTTTTTGTGTTATCAATTATACTCTTAAAGAGTCGATGCAATCATGAATGTGTTGTAAGGACCAGTTTTGGGGTTACCTTTATCCCAAATTGAGTTCACCTTGAATGGTTTTTGTGTGACCTGATTCCATTTTAAGGACCCTTTTTACATCTACTAGTTAGGCCAATCAAGATTAAATTTATATTTGCATGCACAAGTAATTTCCTTGAAACAATTTGTACTTGGTGTAATTAGTATCGCTGATTCCAGTGCTGTGTCTTTCTCGTTTGTAAGTGGTAGGAACTGGGACACGGGAGGATTCAGTCGGAGAGCCGGGTGCTGAACGAGGTTCTGGGTGCTGGACTGGAGATGGATCCCTTAATTTTGAGCGAATTCCCCTGTAAGCGGTTTTCACATTCCTTCCTCGTTCTTTCACCTGATGAACAGATAAAAGATTAATTCATCAGTGCAACTGTTGGTAACAGAGTTCCTATTTTGGAGTTCGTCTTTCTTAAGTTATGAATTCTACCCAAAAAGTCGATGGTATCACTGAAAAAATAAGTATATTACTTTGTGACGATGCAAAATCAATGTCACAACAACGTCAGAATGTACTATGAACAGGAAAATCAACCGTTTTCAGTAAATGAAATCCTATATTTCTCCAAGATGTTCTAGCAAAAAATATTGATTGGTTTTCTACTTGAAAAACAAAGTGAGAGAAACATTTTTGAAACATAGCAACTAATGAGGTTCTGTCTCATATACTTTATACTCATTGTCAGCCAGCACCAGAGGAGTAAATCCTCAGCACTGGTGAAAGATTGCCTGAGCAAAAAGACCTAAAGACTTCGGAGTACTTACCCAACAATAAAAACTGAGAAATCTGATAATCCAATGACGAAAGAAATGAAAGTAAATAATCAGAAGCTTCTCATGAACAGGATTACCACAGAATTTAGAAAATACATTTCCCTGACATATTTTTGTAAAATTCCCTGACTATTGATGATATGCCAGATGGTAAAAAGACTTACAATGAGATAGTTTTAAGGCAAAATTCGTTGCTTAAAACGTCAAACCCATTCTGAAAAAAAAAAGGTGACTCAACAATTTTTACTCAATTTTTTCGTCATTGCCTATGATATTTTCCAGTAATCCCTGACTGTGGCAACCCTGATCAATAGGACACAATACCTTCTTGAAAAAAATAAGGTGAATCACACACCTATTTAACATTTTATCACAAAATTTTGACATCCCAAGCACTGTACTAAAATGAAAAATCACAGCCATTTCTACTGAAACTATTTAATTAAAATGTTAGAAGCATAAAGCAGGGGAGAAAAAAGCAGAGACAATTAATGGTAAATATGATTCAACAACTTCAAAAAACTACTTACAGATTTAACAGCGGACTTAACAGCTGGGTTGGCCTGCAACGTCAATAAGAATAAGAAATAAAATACTTGAGCTCAACAAAAACATAAACTGAAAAGGGAATGGATGAAAAAGAAAAAATATGAAAAGGGAGTAAAAGGCACAAATCAACTGGACTAAGAATAATTGATTACCCAAAAAAAATCTGTCAAGGCATGCAACTACATTAGATTATTAATGAATTTGAAGATTCTTCCTTTCTGCATCACATCAATTTTGTAAGTTATTTTCTTCTTTTACTTTTTTGTAAGAAATTCAAAAAAGGAAGAAGTTGACCGTAATAATTCAGAAACTACTTTGTTATCTATCTGGATAAAACAACTGATAGCCAAAAAATTCACGACGGCACTTCAGAGGTTACAGCTTAGATACTCATGTGGCCCTTATCGTTTTGCATCAGCAATACGAACACTAGTAATGGTGGCGTTGCGATAAGGATTCTCTGTTATATCTGTGTTATCTCTGTTAAAAACTCTTCTTATGCATTAGCAGTGATAAAACACTCCATTCAAGCTAAAGAAACTACACATTAATCAGAAATAAAACAGCCAAGGAAAAAAGGGGACACTCATTCTGGTAATAGCTGCATGAGAAGAGTGAAAAATGAAGATTCGTACCCGGTTTTTGACACTCCTCAGGAACGCTGTGCTGTCTCGTTTGATAGTGAAGGTCCATTCTTTGTATTGCTGTTTCAGTTTAGAGCTAGTTTTGTCCATATAGCTGCACGCTTCCATCTCAAACTCATCTGAGAAACCGAGACCAGCATTTAGCAGCTCTAACCGTTCTTCAATGAACTGCAAAAGGAAAAGGAACCATCGAAAATAATTATTGACACTGCAAATTCTGAGTGGTTGATGCTATACAATTTCAAGATAGCGAGACAATTATAAATGTCACTACATTCAGCACAAAGACTTCGCACAGGAAACTTGAGGAATTTGGCGGCAGCTAAACGGGTCTGTTGCAAGCAAGAGATTCAGCCATGTGAATGTAAAATCACATGCTCAATGCCTCAGCGGTAAAATGGCATGAAAATCTTGATGTTGCATTTATAGAGTTTGGGATCCAGTCCTTCAAGCACAATTTGTGTTGTTTGGAACACACTTTTCCAAATTTCCTGCGTCTGCGAGCAGTATTTTAGTCACCAGTAAAGAGCAAAGGCAACTTCAGACAGCCTCGATGGCTGCTGATGGTTGCCGCTTTGTTGCTGTTGTTATTCTTTTGCTGTGTTTACGAGCGAAACTTTATCTTTGACAGTGGTCCATGCCTTGGGTTGGTAAAAAGTAATTCATTAATCTGCAGGTTAAGTTGATTATATCATGCTTAGAATTGTCAGTTCTTGTCAATTGCAAGTTGCCATTGCTTCTTCTGAGATACATCAACTGAAAACTGCCTGCAGACACGAGAAATTTGAAAAATGAAGTTCCAAACACGCAAATCGCACACTGAGGAATGGACTTAGACCTTCTTCATGTACCCATCATGATTTTTGTGCCAATTTACCCTTGATAAATCTATTCAGACAGCTGTATCTTTTGCAAGCGACAGACTAATTTTGTCATTATTTGAGACAAAGTTCTTTACAGCCTCCTGAGCAAGATAAGCTTATAAAATTGAACAGATGCAAATCTTGAGAAAAGCAGGGCTCAAAAGTGAATTTTCCAGAATTTTTGCATGCATTTTCATCCACAGATTTTGACATTGCGGTTGTATTGGATAAGCAGAGCTTTCTGTTCAGAAATGTCCTTTATTATCTTCCTGGCTGAGGTGCAGAGAGGAATGAAGAGCCTTTCTCCATCATCAACATTTCAATAATGCTTCTCATATGTTCCTATTTCTTCATGGCTTGAACATTAAATTAAATAAACAAAAGATACCTGTTGAAAAATCTGTAGGTGAAGCATCTTTCGCAGGAATGGTTGCATGGAAGCAGGTCGAGAATTGATAAATGCTTCAGGGTTGAAGGTGATCTCCTGTCCTTGCTGAAAACGCAGTCCATCTCTGTACCCGCCGATTAGTTGAACTAATGCTTGCAGGAATGCCCTGGACACTCCGTCTCCCAGAAGTACAGCACGGTTTTTCAATTGACGTCTTAGCCGATTTACCTTGCAAAGGAATGAAACAACCAATCATTTACTAAAACTTCTTTGCATTTTTTTTTCTTAAAAATTTTTGACATGAATTTTAGCATTTTAAATTGTGTCATATCTTCTTCTTTTTTTTCGTAATTAGAAAGAATTTAAAAACGTACATCATGGCCAGCTGGCATATTTAAATCAAATACTTCAAACTAAGACTGGTGCATTAATTTTCTACATAATCTACATTTCTTTAGTAGAACGAGGTGGGTTACTCACAATGTTCTATGAAGAAGGATTAGAGGGTTTCAAAAGTGATTCGTAAAATTGTGTAAACTTTAACGGCATGCGGTGAAACTCAATAGCAGTTTACATTGTGTAAGTTAAGAGTATATATTGCCAAGGATGCACGTCAACATATATTTTTCTCCTTCTAATTTTCAACTTTTACAACCTACTGATTGTTTTTAAGGTCAAATTTTAACTTATAACCTGTCATTTTTATTATTAAACTGAGGCCTCCCGAAAACAACAGCAGATATGTTCCTTGACGTTTTTGTACAAAAGGGTAAGAATGATGGAAAACAACCGTGAAGATGCTGTCTCCTATAATGCTGGTTATTTACAATGCTTATTTATAATGCTGGTTATTTTTTCCGAGAGGAAATGTTTGCAAGGAGCATTAATTGAAAAATGAAATCCTGGGACAAGTGGCAGATTTGGTCTCCTTGGATTAAATTGATAAATAAGAAATGTCTGTGCTACATTATATTTGAAAAAAAACTTACGACATCTTGCGGTAAACTTTCTAGATCATCAAATGGAGTTTCGACAGTATTTGTATCAGCATTCAAGATGACCACTTCACCCAAGTCATTTCTCCGTACATTCTAAAAATGGAACAGAAAATATTTTAATTCAACAAAAACAGGAGCTAAATGGAATGATTGGTCAACGGATCTGAAGACCCCATGATCATATTATTCAGTAAACAAGCCAGATTCCAACTGCTACCTACATTAGATAAAAAATAAAAATTCAGTGTCTTGGTGTCAATTCATTACTGAATTGACAAGGAACTATATTGACGCAGTGATGCTTTGATAGAGGAAAGGATCAGTGCAATACGAATTAAAAAAACAAGCACTTCCAAAGTATCCAATTTGAAATAATTTTTGATAAAAATACTACCTCTTTTATTCATTGCAAATCGACGGTGAAACTACCAAACCACGTATCTCGGTTTGCAACGTCGCAGACTTCCTGTCATACTTTATTTTTTAAATGAAAAACTACTTAACGTCCAGTCTTGAAAATTTCTGCGATTTTTCCTCTTCGTGCGGAGAAAATTCTGTGACAATTTCAAGGAATGATATTGATTTGGTCTACTTTAAAAAAATAAAATGCGAGCGTAGATTTTTAAACACCGGAAACGAGATACGTGGTTTGGTAGTTTCACTGTCGAAATGTGACTTTACAAACATGCGCAAATTTGCAAATTTACAATTTTACTTTATGTTAAATGAGGAATATATGAATAATTCGGTCTCATTTCATTTTTAATTCCAATTAAAACACTCTTGTATGAGTCATTTGACTTGAAGACCTACAATATCTGCCAATGAGTATGTTTTTCCCAAATGATGGTTTTTGGCGTTTGATACATATTTTCCAGTACCACACAACATTCACTATTAAATCATGAAAAGCCAATTGGGTATTAAAGATGTTAAGACATACCGGTAACAATGATTCCGGCAGGCCAATCAGATAAGGCATTGGTGCAAGTAAATAGTCTATTAAGTGTTTAGGAAGAACTGGAATGAAGATATGCTGCCAATTCATCGGATAGATGATACCATTTGCTGATTGAACACAAGCGCTTAATCTGTACAGCTTCTTGGACACAAAAATTATTCTTCTTTCGTAGAGCATTGAAGCAAAAATTATCATCATATTGTGCGTGTCGACTGCATTGTAATATTCTGTCAGGTTTCGCTAGAAAAAAGTTAAAATGAGACATTAAGAAATGTTAAATTTAAAGTTATCGATTAGCTGTTTTCTCACGACTCATTTCACAATGGCCCTAAGATCAAGTAATGAATGAAAGGATATCACATCCACAACTGAGTGGTAAGTGATTTTAATTTAGCAAGGTAAAGAATCTTAATTGAATCTGAATAAATCTGAATTTAGCAAAATCTGAATCTTAAATCTGAATTTAGCAAGGTAAGAAACTTTCTAACAGTCTAAGAAAAACTGACGGCAACTAATATTTCTCCCTCCTCTTCCTTACTGCAATAATTTCCTGTGGTATAAGTTTACTTCTTTTATCCTTCCACATGAAATTTTGACAAGATAACCTATACTCATTTTTTTCATTTGCTTCTGATCTGTAACTAATGACTGCTAACTATCAATTTTTGCAAAGTTAATTTTTATTCTCAATTTAAGACCAAAAAAAAAATTATAAAAATGCTTACATTCTCTGGGATGCGAGGAAGCTGAAACTGAGCCGGAGCTGTACACACAAAATGAGTTACTCCATCTTTGAGCGAAACTTGAAGCGGATGACCAAAGTCTGGGGGCGGATTTCGATAAACTGAGTTTAAGAATGACCATAGCTCATCCGAATTGATGCTACGAGTCAGGTCCGAAACGAAGTTCAAAAACCTGTTAACAATTGATGAAATAGTGATAAAATAGCCTATAAGGGTATACAATTGTATTACGCTCTGACCATTGTGAGCCAGGAAAAGTTGAGCATAGCAGATAAAACTTTTCTCATTTCTCAAAACAAGGTTTTTTTTAATATAAAATTTAATCTATCATAACTCTGGCTTGATTTGAGATTGTTAGGCGTTTCCGGTGCCAAAATGTTTGCAAACCACTTTTTCAAACAGCAATAATACAGGATCATTTTTGAATTACTTAGTGGCTACACTTTTTCGAGTTTTTCCCCTATTGCTCCTATCACCCTCATAAGGCCAATTTTCCTGCCCCCACCTATACTTTTCAATGTCCCTAAGTAGTCCTAAGCTCTCCTTCCTTGAGGTGAATAGTTAGGTATAAATGTGCGCATCTGTACCATGACAGAGCATATTTAAAAACTTACTTGTAGAATTGTTCATGCCATGGCAGGTAACTTAGAACCACAAATGAAGTGTCTGATTTTGGATTGTGCCGGCAGAATCCAAACATCCATTTGGAGTCAGCACTTGTCAGCACAAACGAGTAATGCTGAACAACGGAATTATCGAATTCACAAGGAAACGCGAACTTAGGAACAACTCTGAGGACTTCTTCATCTTTGTAGGACTCTGGGAACTTCTGCAAGATCCAGGCAGGTTCATGATCACCTTTCGGACAAACAATCTCGCAGAAACATTCGAAAACATTCCTTACGTTTTCTCTGAAAAAAAAAAGACAAAAAATTAAGTGCCAGTTACTTGAGTTTAATTTGTGAAAACCAGTAAACCATATTTATTCAAAATATTCATCAACGGTGCGATTGAATTAAACGAAGAGGTTAAAAGAATTCAACAAAATTTTGCTATCACCGACTGTACTCGGATGAAAAATTACCAGTTAAGGGATGGTAAAATCTATGTGGTAAAGGGTTCTAAAGGATGGATATGATGGAATGGGAAATTCAAATATTTGATGCATCTCAGATGGAAAAAAAAACATTTAAATGGGAAGAAAACATGCATGGGCATGGCAACAGCAGTATAAGAGAAAACGTTCCAGATCTGCGATGTAGCAGTTTGATATCTTTTCACTAACATATTGGTGAAGCTCATGTACTCTCAAAACTTAAACAAGTAGCTATTACTCCCTAAGATTGCAAAACAAGAAGTGGCCACAACAGAGCTAAGCATGGCGTACGGAGAATTTGCAATCTGGCAATTTCCTGTGAACTAGACGCAAATATTGCGACATAATTCTTCTTTGACTGTTTTATCAGAATGAATTGATCAAGCAATGTCACCTGGAAGGCCAGAGAGGCAACTAAAATGTAACACAGAAAATTGATATCAATAACATAAGGACTGAGACAGAAAAACGCGGTTTCAACTGACCTCCCAGCAGATGATGATAAGGAAAGTAGGTTTCTTTCAAATTTAGTGAAGGCACCATATCATAGTGGCTCTGTTTTGCCAAAATTACAAACAGACAGATTCAAGGATAATGGGTGCCTCTGTTTTTTCGAATTTTAATAACAGTTGTGAACTTTATAACACCTGTTACTAACTGCAAGGACACGACTGATAAGAGTGAGCCTCAAAGTGTAAGACTAATATACAAGAGGACTCTTAAAATTCAGAAGTCCAAAAGATTTGAGAGTCAGAGTATCTCTAATAATGAAAAAATTAGAATACTTACCGATATCTAGAACCCATTTTATCCTTTAAAGCCAACAGGAATAAGAGACGGAATCAGGTTCCGCAAAATGAGTATAAATCACTGTCCAGGAACATTTCTTGACTAAAGATGATCATTATGGTAATTTCATAGTCCTAAATTTTATCAAATAAGAATTTTCAGAGGAATTTTTCAGTCTAACAAAGTTCATCTCGATAGAAAGTAGCATATTAAAAAAAAAATCAAAAAATCAACAATCCCCCATGAAGGTGAATGCACAGCGAAATGCCTTCTGATATTACAAAATAGGAAGATAAAAATACAGAATAGTAACCAACTACAAGAATAGGACGTAGGACCAGAAAGATTAAAACACTTAAAACATACGAAAACTTTTAAAGGAGCTAAAAAACACTTAGAAATCTTCGCTGATTCACGAACTTTGAAAGCTGCAGTGCTGTTCTGTTACATGTTACACGAACAAACATAACCTCAAATTAATAGTGGGCGAATAGTGGGGGTGGGGCACCTGACACTGTTGCCTAATCACCCGTTTCCATGAGTTTAAAGGCAAAGAAAAAATCGAGTGGAGAACTATTGTTGCAGCGTCGGTCATGTAATGACGATTCCATGGCCTTTTAACACGGATCTTTTAGGTGGTTCGCTCATCCAGTGGTTGAGTCAGGTTTGATTTCCTGCTGATAATGGGATTTAATTGATAACAGTCAACAATGGGGGATGGCCGGACGAGGGTGTAGGGTAGGGCGCGGGTGGGGCAAGTACTTCAGAGTGGGAGCTGACCATAGACGTGTCAAAATAAATCAGTTTATTTCATTGAGGCGCTTCCGTAGAGTTACTGATTCGTAATTCATTCTTCACGATTTCACAGTTCACACTCCCTGCCTCCAGCCCAAAGACATAAAGACGGAGCGCTCGTATCTAAAAGCACGGGGAAAAAGTGAAGCTAGGTTCGGCGCTGCGCGCTTGTGTGAGTGTGTAAATAAGCGCGGGAATCCATGGCGGCAAACGGAAATTTGATTTGAACTTGTCCTCTTGATTTTTGCACATTTCTTCCTCGAAACGTATTTTAAATTCCTAAAACGAATATACTAAGAAAGTTCGGTCTGCGTCCTAACATAATACACCTACTTTTGCTCGGTAACAGGCAGTAATCTCAGATAAAGTTAGTTTTTCTTCTGCTCATGGTGGTTCTGCAGGTTCAAACAGGCCGTTACAGTTCTAGATCAACGTTACTCCCAAATGAAATTAATCGGTCGACGACGGACGGAAACTAACCTAGAGTTAAAAAAATATGAGTTTGTACCTGAATTTGGGCAAAAATCAACCTAAAATACTTTGTTTCCGCAATTATTTTATTCAGTTCCCGCCCTATATTTGAATTCAAACTTGTCCCGATTTCGCCGCCAATCCTCTAGCCAATAGTAGAGGTGGTTGAAAAGAAGCTTCATTTTTTGCTTTTAGCCCTCAGTCTTTATGTCTTTGCTCCAGCCACGCTCCTTGCTTTTGCGCTTACGATTTGCATCGAACTAGTGGATTGCAATCAGTGGCGTTTTCTGATTACACGTTCGCGATCAGTGAGCTAGGGAAGGACTGGTTTCCGAAAAAATTGAGAGTTAATAAGTAATTGGGGGACTCGAGAGACAAGGCAAATAAGTGCAGTTTTTGAAGAAGAAAAAAAAGAAAAAAATGAAATATTAATGATTTCAAGTAGGTACAACTAAAAAGTCTTGATACATATTCTGTGAAAAAGTCGCCTCCAAATTTGAATTTTTAAGCATCCAAAAGTCAGTTTAAACTTTCTTTCCGCCGTAAGTATCCATGCAATTTCAAAACTTCGATAACGTTATTTCTCTGAATAACAAAAACTGTACTTATGCGCCTTTTCCTCCAAGCCCCAGGGCTGGATTAAGGATTAAGGGGGTGGCCCATGGCGGCAAAATTTAGGGGGCGGCAAGTTTTGCAATTTTTTTGGATGTAGGTATCAAAAAATGAGAGAAAACAATCGGATTCAGAAAATTAATTACAAACGAGAAAAGGCGACAAAATCTTTCATTTCCTGAGAGTAAAAGTACAGTAATTTCTAATTTTGTCGTCTTTCGGTGATACAAGAGACAACAGCTTTAATTAGTCGAGTTAAGAGAGAAACCAAACACGCAATTTGAACCAAAACGGAGCGGCGCGGCGGACGGCATGAAACGCATAGCGCCTACAAGACCGCATGAATACTTCACGCACTGCGTCAAACACACTGCGGTCAGCAGCGGTCGGTCGGCGTGAAACGCAGAGCGCCTACAAGACTGCATGAGTACCTCACGCATTGCGCCAACATAGTGCGGTCGGCGCGGCGGTGGAATTTAAAATTTTTAACCACATGCATGTATGTTTGTCTTTTCATACTTAATTCGTTCTTTTTTATAAATGGAAAGCCTTGTCCAAACAGAGATGGGTTTACGGAACTGAACTTTTGTTAATGTTGACAGGGCTTTTACAAAAAATGCGCCCAACACGAGTAAACACATCTTATACACCCCTCCTCCACCGGCACGTTCACTTGATGGTTTTTATAGATCGTATTCGACAGATCACACGGGTGAGATTATATTGATATCGATTGGTTCAATGTGTAACCACAGCCTCAAAAGTCCATTTAGAAATCTGAGGTAACGGGTCTTATGTGATCGAATATTTATTCTCTCGAGTACCATATGGCAATGAAAAGTGAAATTGTTAGGAAGTTTCTCATTTTCAGCTTTTCCAAATTAAATCCTAAAATTTTTGTTTGAGTTTATGTTTTACCTATTGTTTTGAACCAAACGATACATCGAACCACTGTCGAATACGATCTATTGATGTTTCAAAACAAATGAGAAGGGGGCGGAAAAATACAGGCGGCCAATGGGCGGCATGTAGGTAAATCCGGCCCTGCCAAGCCCCACAGTTATGAATTATTGATTCACGATCCATCTTATGAACTTGAATCAGAGCTGGCATCCAAATCGCCTGGTTGCAGGTTGACAAGCTTCGCCCGTGGCAGGATAAAACAACGCAAGATGTAACCCTCTCAGAGACAACCATTGCCTCACGGATGAGGTTTTTCTGGTCTATACCTGGAAAATTAAAGACAAAATAGCAACGTGTACTATTATTCGGAAAACTTCATTGGTTACAGCAGTCTGACAGAGGGCACTGTAGAGCAACGTATCCACTTGTAGCAAGTTCACTTTCACGTTGAGCATCTATTTTAACTCTCTGGAGATCAAATTGCATACCCTCCGAAATGAAGGAATTTTGAATGGGTTCCTTTTTTACAATTTAACAAAGAGGGCGCCCACCGCGTCATGTGCCATGACGCCTGTTGTCGCAAGTACGCTTTTACCTCGAGCAACTATTTTAACTCCCCGGAGATCAAATTGCATACCCTTCGAAATGAAGGAGTTTTGATTGGATACATGATTCAGCAACCAAACGGCACCGAGCTGCAACGTATTTCCTATCGATGCAAATGAAGATCGGATATCACTACCCACTAGTGATAGACAGCTGAAGTACCTATCCGGAAAAATATTCTTAAAATGTTTTACTTTAGCATTTGCAGTGATATAGTGTTACTATATTTGGTGTAAAACACGCTGAGAATAAATTCTCAAAATACCTTTATTGTAGTCTCAACTAACTACAAAATCGCGCAGAAAAATTGTTTACACCGATTCGTCCTCCTGATTTCCATGTCCACTTTCCATCAATCGCAACCCACACAGTAAAGAGATTCCTTTTTTTCCACTCTTTTTTTTAATTTTCTTTTTTACGTCACATTTTTCTCTCTCGGAAATTCGGTCATTCTTTCACCTGCCTGAGCTTTTCAATGATGGGGCTATGACGGAAATAGCGTCAAACTCGCAGCTCATAATACCAGAATTAGTAGACACCTACCTACTCTGAAGTCGGCCGTTACCATCAGGACCTCATTAGCGAAGTATTGTGATTAAAATTTTTCAACTTTGATTCCTTGACGACCATCAGTTCTCAAACCAGCTAAGCAGATCACGAGCTGTTAAGATGCGTTATTTACACTACGCGTAAAGCTCCAAGTTTTCGGCTGGCCATTCGCGGAGAATACAAAGCCCCGGTTCCAGCTAAAATGCGTCACTCCAAGTTTTTTTTCTGATTTAGAGCGTAGTGAGCGAAGAGGTAAAGACGTCAATATACATTCAGGTGCGCATTAATAAAGTTGAGCTGAAATCCTTTAGTTCTTAATTTTCTTCTCAAATTTCCACAGGGGAACAGGGGAAGGGGGGGGGGTAGCACACCCGGGGCCGGGGCCTTACAGCCACTCTCTTATCGCCGAAAAGGAAGACGGATTTGGAAAAATGCTGATCGCGAATAATTTGAATTATTTTCGTGAACATTAAACTGTACACGAGTGGAATGACCATCAGACAAAATAATATTTTCAAATTGACATCCGTCTATACGACCCGATTTTTTGATGTTGCAATAGACCGAAGATAATGTTCAGTTTTTTTTGGCTTTTTTTCAAGAAATACTCAAAATACGCTCAATTCGGCGTTTTCTAGACGAGTAAGGAACATAACTCCATTCTGTGGACGCAAAATTGACTAAAAAAAATCAATTTCTTACAAGAATATGCTCATGAAATTTTCGTCAAAAATTGTCCTGATTTTCGCGTGAGATCAGAAAAAATCAGTAGAATTTTCAGATAAAATTGCTAAAAATCCAGTTCGCAAGAAGAAATTTGGTAACATCGAAATGTACTTACGTATTATTTCGTGAGACGGACGACGAATTATGCAAAATAACTCTTTCCGGCATTGCCAGCTGCTACTCCAAAGGCACATTTTTTATTCTGTCGACAAACTTCATGTAGATGACCCCTTCGGAGATAAATAAGCAAGATCGTTCTACTTTTAGATCTTATCAATTATCATGGTTGTCACATTATTATCTACACTTTCAATTTAGCTTGACTCTGTCTTTCACCTAATTCAACAAATTCAACGTGCGACGTTATGATATGATCAAAATAATTTACCCTCTTGGAATCTCTTTTGATGAAGTTCTTACCATCGGTCAAAATGTTTTGCTTTTCCTCAAGATATCCCAACACACGGCAATTTCCGGTTAGTCCTCAGTAGTTCTTTTTAGCCGCTTTCGCCAACATCCGTTTCCGGTCCGCGATTTTTGCCAAACAAACAGCGATGCAGGCAAGGATTGAGAAATTCCCTGTTAAAATCCCATCGCTGATGGCTCGCGGGATTTTTCGCAAGCAGTGAGCGCATCACTGCATTATAAAACAAAACAAAACAAACAAAGAGCTTTCGTTTGCGTTTGCGCTTTTTCGCAGTTCGCATCTCATTGTGTTGTCGGCAGCTTTCAGCTTTCAGTACATGGTTCAGTGTTTTTTTGCTACGCGTCGTGCTTTTGGTTATGTTACTTGAGCAATCGGATA